CCCTGCATACAGTTCTTGGTTCAGCAAATTTTGCAGTATTTTCAAGCATGATGTTTTTAGTCTCGGACTATGGCAAGTAACTTTAATACGGTACAACTGAATAAAGGTCTGCAACAACTTAGTATAGAGGTGAAATTAAGACAGTGTCTGAACTAGAATAACTTTGGAGACAGGAGTGTGCAGAGGCCTGCAGGTAGGTGATGTATTGTGATTCTTTCCTGATCTTCTGGTACCTACAAAGTGCGGCTTATGTGTATTTTCCTATACTGGACATTACTTCCTGAAAAATACAGCTGGCAGAAAAGCCAGCTGTATTGTCACAATGTTAGAGTCTTCTGTGCTATCACTCCCATACTTTTAGAGACAGTATTTGAAGAAGGTACAGTCTAAAAGAATGTTGTATCCACAAGCTTGTTTGTATTGACAATTATCCAGAGAGAGATGTATAGAGACTTGTTCATCTCTAAGTTAAACTTCTTTACCTAAATTTAATGGGAATGTGAGCATTTTAATTAAATGCATCATTGTGTGTGTTTCTGAAATGAATTGAACTCTTTAACTTCTGAAGTAGGGTGGGGCTTCCAAAAATAGAAAATTACATTTTGAAAATATCTTCCCCTGTCTAGTTTGTTTGTTTTCAACCTATTATTGGAAAGGAGTCACTGAAACATCCAGGAACATGTAGCAAATCTGTCTGCCAGAAATTGCTTCCTGTCATCAGTAGAAATTGAATCTGAGTACACAGTGCCACACCACTATTAAAAAAAAATTAAAAAGTGTGTGCTAGTTCATTAATTTATTTCAGTAGTTTTAATACTGTTATGTTCTGGCAGTATGGGGCAACCTCTCAAAGGACATATTTTAATTGTGCCCAAAGTATTTGCAAGCACATCTGTTTCCATGCATGGAAAATCTTACAGTTAGAGACACAATTACCCAGTTTGCACATTCGAATACTCTTGTGTACAGATGAATACAGTATTGCATATATGAAGAAGGAACCTTGCAAATATTTGGGTAAAATTAAGGAGAACTTTTGAAAATGTGTATCTAGAAATTTAGTAATGTACCTACTTCAAAATCATTTTACTTGTATAATTCTGTATACAAAACTACATGCAGAACTCAAGAATTAATCTCTTATCTGCTAGTAGCCTCTCGGCTATTGGTAGTCCCTCAATGGAAAAAAGAAAAATAGCCCAACCATTGAGGAATGGTTCAAAAATATGGAATTAACATACTAATTACCTATCCAGCAAAACAGACAGATGCTTGATATTTGGTTACCTTTTATTCCTTACTCAGAAAAAGTACATTCACCTGCCAAAAAAAAAACCATAAAAAAACCCCACCTATCTAACTTTTTTGAATATTAACATTTGATAGACATACATGGTTTGTTAAACATGTGGATATAGAGGTTTCATTCAATTTAATAAAATCACTAGAAATGTCATAGATGTTGTAATGATGCTCACTCTGTAACATGGTAACAACCTGTTAAATAGAAAGATCTGATGGCTATTTTCCTGTATAATGTGTCTTTAAACAAAAGAGAACAGTTGTAATGATTGTTTTGTTCCTGATATTTACATGGCAAGGTTTAGTAAACAGGTTAAAACTTCCTAAATTGTTAAAAAAAGAAAGAAAAAAAAAGACCTTTGCTCCATTATGATTATACCTAAGTATTAATTATTTTCCCTTGGTGCCCAGGCACACAGGGTCCCTTCTGTTCCTTTGTACTGTCATTGTTCGGAGTGTGCTGTCAGCTGTTACTCTGTGAACATGCAGCTAGTGATTTTTGCTGGTTAGTGGCACTTGTTTTGGGGTCCTCAAACCCCCTTTTTCGTTCTGTCTTTCGCCAAAGCTTCACGAATCAAGAAGGTAAGAGAAGAATGCCTTTGCCCGTCATCCTTGATCAGTTAAAGGGAGTTCGTCTTAATCCAGGAGTGCTCCCCGTCCTTACCAGAAATCAGAGAAAGGTGTTCCTCTTTGTCAGAGTTCTCCTTGAAGAGACATGAATGCTCAGAGCCCTCTCAGCCTTCAAAACCAAAGAAATGGATGGCTTCACATTGTTGAAGTCCTTGGTGGGGGACTCTTTGGCTGCAGAGGGTAACTACTCCAGTACTGAAGGTAGAGCGTACCCTTTGGCTGCCGCTCCTCAATATCACTCCCTAGTGGCTTGACCAGGACAGAGCTGTTGGCTCTGATTCCTGAGCTGGGACAGTTGAGGCTGGCAGCTTACTTAGAGCAGACACTGGAGCCATCACACTTGATCATAATGGAGCAAAGGTTTATTTTGGTACCAACCACCCTGGAACCCTATGCAGCTGCAAAAGATCTCCTGAGCCTCTTAGTACCACTTTAGCAGATTACTGAGACTGAGAGTGTCTTGCCAGAGTGCATACATTGCCTTCCATGTTGCTGACCCATTGATGATGAAGCCAGTTCCAAGACCAATGGTAACCACTTTGCCTCAGCACACAGTACCGATAGCCAGGAAGTCCCCAATGCCAGTACCGCAGCCTAGCCATCATGGTCCCAATCTCTGATGACAACATCAGGTACTGCATCTCCCCAGCTCAATTGTAAATTAAGATTTTCCTCCCCCAAACAGCTTCTGCAATTGGCCCTGACACTAACCCCTCAACAGTCTGTAGTAGAGGAGGAACAAAGAGTCAGTGGGCA